TTTAGGAATTTCATTGAGGTCTATGTTCCATTTTGAATTAATTTTTACATATAATGCTAGGTTGGGATTGAAATTTATTTTCTACACAAGGATATCCAATTTTTCCAGCACCATTTGTTGAAAAGACAAGAACATTATGGTCTCCTTTTCATCTTTTTTGAAAATCAATTGTGAACATAAAAATGGGTTGGTCACCTGCTTTTGTAGCTTGCCTGACTGTGGACTATCCCATGAACTTTTAACAACCAGAACAGTGCTCATGTAAATGTGTGTCCATACTGTTTAGTACAGATATGGTTTATTGTGGGGACCTAATAAATACCTTGTTAAATAGACTAAACTTATATAGAGTTTTCGTGTCCAGGTTGAAACAGTGAATTTGACCTCACACTGTCCACTCTGAGGTCAGAGTCACAGGGATGTACTACTTTGCCAGGTACTCAGGACATTGAAAAAGTATCTTACCTAGGAGTGAAAATTACTGGGTTATATGTTAACTTTATGTGTAACACTTTTTTCCAATTTCTTCTTGAGTAAGCTTTGATGAGTTCTGTTTCTTCCCCTCTGGAATATGACAATTTTAGCTAAGGTTCTAAAGTCTATTGATATAGTTATTTTACAATTTTCTTGTACCTTTTTATTGTCTTAGAATATTAATAGAGGACAGGTTTTTTTATTCCGAATATTTTATTGGTGCCTCTTTTTCTTGATCATTCTCAACAAAGATTTCTAATTAATTTTCATTGTCTTTTTTGGGAGGGTCAGTATTGTATATTTTATTTTGAAATAAAGTACAGAATAACATTGGATAGATGTTAAGAACAAGGCCTTTAGAATTAGGATGTCAGTGTTTGTCTAAAGCTGTGGAACAGGAGAGTGAGGTAGTGGGGAGAATGGGAAGTCATTACCATGGGTAGGATTTAGGGGAGAAGGAAAATGTTCTAAAATTGATTGTGGTGATGATGCATAACTTTGATCATATTGAAAAACACTGCATTGTATATTTTAATGAGTGAATATTATGCTCTGTTTATTATCTCTTAACAAAGTTGTTATTTAAAAAAAAGGAAAAAAAATTCCAGAAACACTTTGGTATGGGCCCTTGATGAAAACCCAACCTCTACTGTTAGCATTATTGGTTGCTACTTGACTTAACATGCCCTCTATCCTTGTCCTCATTTCCATTTATCTATCTTGGTCTTAATTACAGTACTTCTAGGTATTTAATATATTACAGCTATAAATCATTTTTTATGACAAAGCTGCTTCAAACTGTTTGTAGGTTTGGAATCAGAAACCTCCTACTTTTTAGATGACATAAATGATTAGTGCTTCATAGCTCTGATTTTCCAAAGGCCATATATTACAAAGTTATCAGTTGACAAGAAATTCTTTCTGTGTATGTAAAGTTTTGTAGAGTTGACTTTTTACTTCCTATTCCTTTAAAACTTGGAACAGAAAGACCCTAAAGTATACAGAACCCTAGCATAAGGATACTCCTATGACCACCTTTCATTAGTATATAAAGTTACCTGGGTGATCAAGTTAATTATATATGTAATGGCAGAGGGTGAACTAAGATGGCAACAATGCAGGTCAGACCAAGGAAAGTTGGGAGCCAAGGCCAACCCTGGGGGGAAGGCCAGCAACCCATCCCCAGGAATAAGGTCAGACATTTGTCATTTGTGAGGTGGACACTTAGTGCCATGAAAAGGGAAGCAGGACAAATTAAAAGCCCATTTTATAAGGAAATGGACATTTGTGATTAGTAGTTTCAGTTATGGTGAAACTGTGTGGTCAATTAATATTTTAGTTATTTGAAAGCTTGACTGTAAGGCAGTTACAGGGGAAAAGGGCAGAAACAGGGAATAGCAATTCAGTCAAGTACAAAATGGAAAAAAAATAGGTGAAAAGAGCGGTGGGATTATAATCCAAAGGCATGCCATGCAACTAGCTCTAAAACTAGAAAGTTGTTTTCATTTTCTGAATTAGTTTATTAATCTATAAAGAGGTTGGTTGAATTTAGTTATCACTCAGTAAAAATATATACCTCTAAAATCCCTTCCAGTTTTAAACACTTAGGAATTAAAAACTATCTTAGAAATGAAATCACAAGTTGTTCTGGTGTGACTGAGCAAGAGGTGAGAATGAATTTACAATTTCAAATGTAGTGTTTTTATAGGAGAAACAAATCAACCAGCTTATCACAGGGTGTTCCTATTTCCAAATGGCTGCTCTCTCCCACACTGTGACATAGCTGTGATAAAAAAATTTTTATTGCTTTACAAGCTGTACTGTTTCAATTCAGGCCAAAGCTTCTTAAACTCCATCAAACACTTTTATGATATCCAGAATATAGGGGGAAGAAAAACTTTAGGCCAATTTTTCATTGTGGATTTTTAAATCAGGTACCAGTGTTGAAGGTGGACTTAGGCAAGCCACTCCACCTTACAATCTTATACAAGAAAAGGGACCACTAGTCTTTGACCTGTTGCAAAAACATAAACTGCTTACAAAACTTATGCAGTATCTCAACAGGATCCTCATTTCCATCTAAGTTTTTAGTTAAGCTTTTCGTCAGTTAAAGGCTCAGTTAAAGTTCAGTTAAAGGCTCAGTTAAAGTTTCTTGTAGCTCAGAATGATATATCCAAAACAAAATATTGATGTGTTTTTACTTTGTAAGTTTGAGCAAAGTGGCAGCTAGATCAAACCTAAGGTTGGCTGAGGGCCTATTTTGGGGGGTTGAGCTTCACAAAGGGAGGTGGTGAGAATGCCTTCAGTCTGTTCTGGTTTTTATGGCCAGATAGAAAGGTCAAGTTCCAGCTCTCCCTTCTGTAGCCTTTCTCAGCTGCTATCACAGAAGGGTGAGGTAGGCTGAGTATTTAAGTACTTATAAATGCAGCCATCCCTGTTTGGGGCTGGGATGTGCCACCCTACTTCACAGACAATGAATGCAGACAATGGGTGAAGGACTACAAAGGCGTCTAGCAATCCCAGCTTCAGCTTCCATACTTTTCAGTTGAAAGTCCCTTCCTCCCTGTTTTCCACGTTGCCAAGCTGCCTGGGACATTCATAAGACTACGTCATCAAATTGTCCACATAACGTGCCTCATTTGCCGTTTAACTATATTCTTCTGGTCCGGAATCCTGGACTTTCTTGACCTGGCCCTGAAGAACCTAGGCTATCACTGTGAACTAATATGAATGAAAAGCTGAACCTTGCAACCTGTTGAATGAGAAATGAATGAAGCCTCAATAGACACTCCCTCCTTCCCACCCAGCTCCACGCTGCTAATGTGCCTCCGACTTAGCAACGACGTTGAAGTCTTCGGCTTGTTGGGGGAGACAAAGCAAACCAAAACGGGAAAGGGGTAAACGAGAAAAAGGGGCGGGCTCCCCGCGGGCGGCCAATACGCCGGCCGGCGACCGGAGGGGCAGCCGCCGCCTAG